TCATGAAGCTAATTCAAGTTTACAATGATGTCGGATCCGGTTCTTTTGCCATGAATCAACTATTAAGTGCATTAAATACGGTCTCAGACAAATTTGAGGTCATACAAACAAATGGAGAATTGTTGCGATCGCGGCATAGGTTACACGAGACAGCTCTTTTGTGTTTTGGTGGCGGATATGATCTTGGATTTCTCTCATCGCTGAAACCCGAAGGATGTGCTATTGTACGTGATTATATTCAATCAGGAGGAAAATACCTCGGTCTCTGTGCTGGAGCCTATTTTGCCTCTTCGCGTTGTGTGTTTGATGAAAATGGGCCGCTTGAAGTAGTGGGCGATCGCTCAATTGGTTTATTTGAGGGTAACTTCTAATTGCACTCAAAATATTCATGTCGATCCCCAAACAGGAGATGCGGTTGGACCTCATTTTCCCGGTTTTAAATACAATAGTGAAACGGGCAGTAGTGCCGTGTCAGTCGTTCGAGCCGATATTGGGAGTACAAATGCAAGTGTTCCAGCCGCGCTTGCCTACTTCAACGGTGGGTGCACTTTCCGCTCAGTGGAGTGGAAGAACTCGACAGTTCTTTATAACTAGTGAGTTTACATGTGTAAGCCAAACATCATAATTGCTTATTTAATGTACTGTGCTTGCGCTTCCCTGAAACCTGATCTTTTTAAAGTTCATTCCCCTAAATATGCATATATAATCTACCTGTAACACAAGAATGCTCATGATAAAGCCCATAGATAGAAAAAGAATTGTGTAATATTGAGGATTGTGTAATATTAATGTTATATGATTCTGTTTTTTTGCATAATCTCCATTCTTGTATTTTTTTCTTATGCGTTCGTCTTGTTTTGCTGGGTGTGTACATATGTTGTTTGGCGTCCCAAGCATTCATGTATAAACCGTTGCAGCTTCCCTAGAAGCTTTTAACCAAAAGCTTCCAGGAGTTTTCGAACCCTCGCGACGAACTCGTGTATGAGCACTTGAATCCAAGCAAACTTCAGGTGTTGCACATCTTTCCACCACGTTATGAACTGTCCACCACCGTGTCTGAAAGTCAAGTCATGACAAGGAATGGCTTTATTCAACTCGAAGGGGGGATATTCAACAACCACATAACCACAGTTTGTCAACAATAAAAAAGCTTAATGTAATACAGCAATTAAAAGAAGCCAAAAAAAACCAGTGGCGTACCAGGTTGTTTATGATTAGTGTAGTCTAGAATCTTGCTCAGATTTTCTGTAACGAGTTTATCATTTGTAAGAAATCTGGCGAGATACAATACAATGGAGCGCCTGTAAGCTTCAGTGTGTGCCCTTGTAAATTTATAATTGGAAGGGGTGAATGAGTAAGAAAGACACGGACTAAGAGCAGAATAAATTTTGGATAAAATCCTATTGGATTGTGTTTTACAGGACTTGAGGTGGTGTGCTATCACTTGCTGTACCAGATGTTACCATGGTATAAGACTACATACCGACAGAAACTTAAGCGATCGAGAAATGAGTTTGAGGTCCTTGTTAAAAAGACTGCGGAAGATAACGGGGGACCCATAAAGCCAGTGGGTTAAAAACGCAAGCAGGAACTAAACGCCTTATGAGATGATTTGGGACAAGGTGATTTAAAACGTGAAACATAGAACGTGTGTCTCCTGACCTTCAGAAAAGCGTCGTTGACGTGGTCACACCAGGCGAAGTTACGGTTGAAAATAATGCCAAGGTATTTGACAGACGGTTGTTGATCCATCCGGTCACTGAAGATATACAAAAGTGGGCTGGTATTTGTAAGTTCATCATACTTTTGACCTTTCAAAAGGGGGGAAATTACGTTATTGCATTTTTCGGGGTTCATACGGAGGTTTCTTTACTGAGGCCACTCAACTATCTCTGACATGTCTTCTTTTAGAGTGGTTTGAAATGATGGATTAGGGTAGAGCAGTTCGAATATTATATCGACTGCATACTTAACGAGAATAAAAGAATTGCTCACAGAAATAGAGATAATTTAAGCGGAAAATAGACAAGGGGGTAAGATAGCGCCTTGCAGTAAGCCTTGCCACAAAAATTACGATCCTATTTAGCGGGTTGCTCAGTACTTGTCTGTGTACATCGTCACTGCTCGCATGATGCCGTGAAAAACAAATAGAACTATTCAATGAGAGCGGTTACACAATACCGATTGTCGCGAAAAATTCTCGCCACGCTAGGGACAGCCAACAGCCCTAAACCATATTGTTCCGCGGTCCACGGTAAACTGTGAACAATGAGATTAACTGTGCGTTGCAGAGACCAGTCCAGTAACGTGTTCTGAGACATCGCCTACGCTGTTCCACCAAGGTTTCATTTGTACAGCGGGGCGACAGCACCAGTTGGAACGGAAAGTTGAAGGTAGGAATGCTTTTCAGGTCACAGTTTTTTACAAAGACGCAATCAAACAATAGCATGCGGTAATAAAATAGTGTTTCTAGCTATTTCGTTCGAAAGTGATTTTACCATCTGACTCGCAAAATGGTTCTTAGGTAGCAGTGGTCAAATAAATTGCATCATCTTTATTGTCTTTATTATAACTATTATTATGATCATCTTCATCTGGCACATTCTGTGACCAAATTTAGCAGAAGTACAGCAAGATAGGGCAGGCTGATGTAAGGGATACTCTTACTTTGGTTTTCAGGCTGCTTTCCTTTCGAGTCAAAGCATATTGTTCAGGTGCCATCAAGGTGCAGTCGTAGTTTGTCCTCGGTTTGGAAGTCACTAAGAATCTCAATTAAATCGATCGTCACGTGATTTAACCGTAGTGTCTCTGTAGGAGCTGCATTCGGTGGTTAGGTCGAAGAGAGATTGTGTGAGATACTGAAATGTTCTTTCCTCCTGTTTATCCTTTTTACTGTGTTGAGAACGCTGCTCAACAGGGTCATTAGTTCAAATGGGAATTCGTTGAGTATATAGCAAATGAAGCGTGAAATGAAAAGCCAGGAAGCACTGGACAGCTGTTTCGACCTGGTTTGGTTTCATCAGCAGTGCGAATCCATCGACCCAACTGGGGGTCGAACCCGGGACCTCATAGGTAGAACGCAAGCATGCTACCTTCTTCGCCATCCGGCAGCTGATCAAACCGTTTTTCATTTTCTATTTACACGATATAGCACAAACCATCTTTGCTAGTTTGTTGCTGCCCACAGACCCTGCTCCTCTCAGCACTAGCCTCCACGGATATGACTCAGTTGGAAACATTCATAACCTGACTACTGATTTTAAGTGAGTAATGAAGGATTTGATTCAATCTTAAAGGTGAATTCATCGTGTGATCATTATTATTTGTTGCTTGCCTGATTCAGATTGCATGAGACGGACTAGGTTTTTTGTCTGAGAAGTCTAAGATTGTTTTTAATATTGAAGTTTATGGTTTCTGACATTTAACGTTAGTTTTCGGCGAATCCGGTGGTCCAGACAGGACTGAGAGGGGCTCTTGCTGGCAGCTTTCTTTGGTGAGATCATACTATTTAGTATTCAGTTAGTCCCTCTGTCGAATTATCTCCGTGCTCAGCTCTACTTCAGAGGAGCTTTAATCCGGTCCCTTGCTGTTCAACAGAACTTTTTACTCTATACTAAAATGGGTAAGCCGTTTGACATGCTTATGGTTTTCTTGTCCATCAGCGTCGCACATTTCTCACTGTTTTCGAGTGGAAATGTGTTTTGGCCTTGGTATGGGCAACCTAGCAGTATCGCGTTCAGTTATTGGAAGAAAGTGTCCTTTAGTGAACCGTCGGATGAAGCACGCATGAGCATGTGATCAAATCTACATCTAGTTTCACCATGCGCCCCGTGGTAAAACCGACAGTTTTACACTGACGTAATCTAGTGTGGATAGTCGAAAAGGTAAGTTAACTTTTGCGCAGTACCAATGTTGTTGGGGTACTGAGTTCAAAGATGATTTTGGATTTTTTAACAACATATTGCGATGAATAGTGGATTGTAAAAGGTAAATATACTTTTATTTTCTTGTCTTCATAAGCAGCCGGGTGTATATAAAAAAACAATTTATGCCACTCTTGCAGTCCTGCTTCGCAATGAGTGTCATAGTTGATACCGAACAACTCAACGTCCAAGTAGAATTTTTGGAAGGATCAAAAGGGTCTGCGATTGTGTGAAATATGAATGACACAGCAGAATGGACGATTACAGGCAAACACAAAACTCCGGTGGTGTATAGATTGTCGGTCAATATATATATATATATATATATATATATATATATATGTAAGATAAAAGCTTGCAAATACATGTTTTAATGATTTATGAGGCCGACTGTTTCCTTGTGGAAACCAACCTTTGAATTGATTTTTTGCGCAGATTTGCATAGGTGATAGAATAGGGTTGGTTTATTAGTATGTTGACGTAGACAAATTGAGCAGACCGTTTGGTAATCTCGTCGAATTCTGCATTTTTTCACATTTTTTCTATATTCATCCTGTACTTATGATCTAATATAAAATCATTTTGTGTTTCCCACTTTTAATTTACAGTGGCAATTCGAGTGACCCGGCAATAATCCTCTCCCATTTGGGCAAAGGTATGGGTATACTTAGCGGTGTTCATATAGAATACAATCCAAGCGATTTGGAGGCTCTGAATGCCGGAGCACATTCGCAGTCCGTGGCATCCAAATTGAAAGCGGACGATGCAAATCGGTTGCAGCTGTGGCATGAACTTTTATCCATCTTAATTGATTTGAAAAATTAGTAATGTGACTTCACTTTCTGCCAATCAACAAGTGCCGATCTGCTTTGAGTCAGCTAATTATTTTTAGTTCATGAGCCCTTTATCATGTATTCTTAGCGATGATGTTTCATGCCCTAACCGCTTTTTTCGTGGCTTGTGAACCTAAATGAAAGGTAACCCTGACACTTCAGGACTGAGTTATTTTCAACAGTATGTGATGATTTTGTACAACATAGCAATGAGAATACATATTTTATGTTCTTTTTATTCCATCTGCAACAGTTAGTTGTTCAGGGAACTTCCAAACAATACGTGTGCAACGAATATGATATTCTGACCGCAGGAGACCAGAGGAAACGTCGGTGGTGCAGTGGCATCTAAACATGGGTGTAGCTTTGTGTCCGTTTGTTCTGCAGTAGGTCTGCGGTGCCACAAAAGTATAGACTGAAAATGATCGTTTCTGGTATCGATGTAGCATATTTTCTTCTCGTTAAGATAAAGCGCATGTATTGTACCTTGACCTAGTCAGATTTTCATTTGGGATAGTCATGCAAATGCATTCAATAACACGATTTTGATTAGTGCGGATAGTTGCTTCATGCACAGTTACCGCCGGATTGAAATATGTTGCCTACATTTCTCCATCTCTGACCTGTTCGTCCACTGACTAACTGATGTCGTACAGAGTCGAAAGAAAAAGTCATTGACAAAAAGAGAAGATTAAAAGGTTAACAAACAAAAGAGTATAGAGCACTGTTCTGATCATATTTTAATTCTTTACACAATATCTTTTGCATGATTTAGCCAAGTAACGATCAGCTAACTTCGTTTAACTTACTAAGGTTTAATGGTTTCTTTTCTGTTTGGTGCATAGAAACGTAAGTCTATTGATAGGGACCTACCATAGTTCAGCTTCCGTTTTCGCGAACAGTCTCCACTTCGTCTAATTAACAGCAAATCCAAGCAGCATCAGACGAGAAGTGCCCCCTTTTTGGAGCTTACTTGTAACGCGTATTCATTGAGTTGCTCCGGTTTTTAATCCGCCAGGACGACATAGGTGATTCTCGAGGTGGAAACTGCTAACAGGCTTTCTTTACGAAATTGAAGCTTTAACCTATTGTTTACTCAGGGTGAGGTTGTGTGTACGAACTAGAACCTATTCGCAAAGGTCTTAACTGAGGATGATCAATCCAAATCCATATCACTTTCTCCACACCTTTTTACATTGCGATGTATCCCCCCTTTTTCTGTTATTCTTGTTGTTGCGTTGGCGCCAAGCTTGCTCGCATACCGGTGATAAATATATACATCAATACCGCAAGTAACTGCGAATAAAACACCGGATTAATGTTATTATCATCAGTAAAACTATACGAATACATCACAGAACATTTTGAAGCTGTGGCAACCAAGTGTTATTTTCTCGGTGTTCCATATCACAGTCCCGTCGAAGTGGTTGTTTACAAAAGTTGAAAACTTGTTTGAACCACCAAGGGCCGCACTTTTTGGGGATCAAGCGAGAGAGGCAGTAGACCTTGAAATGCAGTATTACATATCATTTTCGCGATATATCATAATTGTCGGTGATTTGCTTCATTCAATCTCAGTGATGACATTTGACGGTCAAATTTAAGAAGTATGAGACAAACTGCAGATCAATAACCGCAAACCGTGTGTATAGGCTTATTTAGCTCTAAAGCAAGTACAAACTATAGTCTTCACACAGCAGGGGGGGAAGTTGAACCTCGAAATCCGCAAGAACGTGCACCGGGGACTCAGATGTACGTGAGGAGGTGGGTGGGAACACAGTCCGTTCATCGTGCGTCAGTTGAACAGTGTACATGCCTGAAGCGTCCNCGTCCGGTGTTACGTGGTTGTATAGATTGATTGCAACTGCTTAAAGTGGATCAACATCATTGTGCACGTTGCGATTGCAACGGGGACTAAGCAAATGCTCGATTACAAGTTGTGGAACGCCCTGAGCTTACTGGAGTTGGAGTTTTCTTCCTAAAATCTGGCAGGTTTTGAGTACAAATTAGATGATAATGGAAACGTGAAAAAGTTGTATGCGTGGTAAAAAACGACGTTTTCTGATGAACCAATGTCTAATTATTCAATTTCATTCTCATCCGATAAACACAAACAAATAGTAAGCTATCATTGATTAGAAGTGCATTCAGAAAACCGGGGAGTCTGGTAACGCATGGGACTCCCAACGCTGCATATCCGAGTTCGAGTAGCCACCCACTCAGTAAGTGTGAACCGCTGACGATTTTCAACCCGGATAGGGTAGGTGTAAACTGGCACTATGGTTGTGCAGTGGTGAGTGCAGCACGTCTACATGTCATAATGAACCACTGTGCATTCATTCCATCCCCTCATAAAGTTTACTTGCCTTGAGGTTGGGATATATATATGTGTGTATGTGTGTGTGTGTGTGTGTGTGTGTGTGTGTGTGGATAAGGGAGACAGAAAAAATCTACACTCCGAAGTGAAATCATGCCAATGATCACCAAACGTTTGAGCACATGATAAACTGTTGTCAAAAAGATCAGAAAGTTTTGAGAATCATTACCATCACGAAACGCGTAAAGTGAAAATAACGACAGTGTATCAGATCTCTAACATGTAAAATTTACCAATAAAAACAACCCACCATGGATGTAGAAATCGATAGATTGGTCATAATTGATGCCTTGATCTGTTGGTTTTGACGACGACGACAACAACTAAGCGAAAACTGTGATGTTGGGTCCCACATGCACACACGCCAGTCCGTTAACAAAACTAAACAGAATGCTCAATAGAGGTGAGACAGAAAGCGATCATATGTGAGTGAGTGTATGAGGGAATCAAATAAGAATAACACTCACGTATTCGGTCATGGTTGAAATCAAATCAACAAATTAAGCATGGTAAATTTAGTGGTTCGATTAGTGGTGAATGTTGTGCAAATCCTCGTAAAAAGTACGCTACGCGTATCTCGTAACGGTCGTACAGATCTGTCAGTAGACAGCACCCTCTTCACTTGGCTTGAAAATGCACTCATACCATAAAAATCAGGCCTCGTGTGAATGAACGTCCTCTAATTCAAAGCTTGAATTACTAATTTGATGTCGATTATTCTATCCTGGGACATACCGGTTTTCGTTCAAAATTCGTCACATCAGTATCGATGAAAAAAATGGTTTCGATTAAAGTAAAATAGATAGAGTGGCCATAAAAGCCGACTTGAAGCCATCTTAGATGGCACGTTTATGTCAAAACTTAAATAAGATATTAAAAGTGAGCTGCAATCCATGATGTTACAGTGCCGGTATTTCCATACTGCATCATAAATGAGTACAAACGAAACCAATACAAAGGTTCTTCACATTGTTGTTTAGCAGACTGAAGTCTTATGGTGAGATTGTAAAACTTCCAGTAGCCCCGGTGGGATTCAAACCCACCCCACGTTACTCAGCTGGCACAGCTTGCGCTGTACAAAGGCGTAGGCGGCGTCCATGCGTGGGTTCGAATCCCACCGAGGCTACTGAACGTTTCACAATCTGAATAAAAGTTCTGTCTAAACATTTGAACGGAATTCACTGGAATGCCGAGTAGTCACTCATCACCAATCCAAGACGTGTTAAGAACTACAATGAGCGATGGAAAACTCCAGACGTCAATTCAATGCAAGTGTACGTGGACAGACCAGAGTTCACACTTCCAAAGCTTTTGTTCCATACATTTAAAAGTCGTTTAACAAGAACCCTGGTAGTACGGAACTGCTGGAGAGTCAAATCAGAAATATTATGCCCACCAATGGCTAGTCCTCGCGCTTTATCCAAAAACGCATGACGCCTAACATAAACTGGACCAAATAACTAGAACTAGAAAAAAACCCGCTTTTATTAGTTTATCATTCGAAGGAGGCGATGTAATTGCAACCGGTTAACTGTCGACTCTGTACGGCATTTGAGTCCATCTATCAGCGATTATTCAATTCACAAATTCATTCAGACATAGACACGTTCAACGATTCGGTCACCTCTAGTTTCATCTTTCTTCTTCAATGGACTAGCAGTTCGAGGAATTTGGAGTAAGCTCACTGGTGAAATGTTTTGAGGACACCGGAAACTGTATGGGCAAACTGGAAGCATTCCACATCATCATCATTCCTCGAAGATGAAAGATGCATGGTTTCACCGAGGTGGTAATTATTGGCCGATTAAACTCTAGTAGTTGTGTGCAGAGAAAGGTCTTCGGGATGCGGTCACTAGTGAGACGGTAATCCCTTTCTATCAACCCTCCGCACTTCCATCCCATCATCTCACTCATTCCCGACACCGGATCATTGAAAACCCATCTTTCTTAATTCAATTTGACGTAACGCTTTTAAGCCACTTGTTTGACTGAGGTTCAACTGCATAACGTTTTGACATCGCATTAGGAAACCATCCTCAACTTTTTGAGGTCCGCAGTTGACCGTTTTTGATTACTCAACTGTTTCTGTGCTCACATGTCTTCATCTTGTATCTTTTAATCATACCCCGCCCCATATTCTTTCATTCGTCATTCATTCTTCGGTGAGTATACTAAAGCCAAACCTAACTTACCTAACCTGTCGTGTTTACGTACATAGCCATATATGGCATTCCACTTATAACATTTCAATATGTTTATTGTGCTTAAACAGCTTCTCTGGAGCATGCGACATTGATGGCCGATGTCGGTACTGCTGACGATGTTTTATCTGTTCTTCTTCAAAATGGGAAACACATAAAAGAGCCGACGGTCAGTCATCAATAGTCGACTGTTTGGGTGACGTTTTCCATCACGTTCCGTGTAGCATTTCAAGTTGTCCAGTGAATCCGGGATTTTTCCGATGGAACTATGTTATCCTGTTGTTGCATCATGTTGTTGCATCGTTATTTATTAAATTTGGCCTAATCGACTGAGAAGAAGGTGAATATCCTATGCAAACACGGCAAGCTAACGCTCGTAAAATGAAACCACTTAAATAATTCATTTGTTCTCTG